GAACCGTAAATTATCCTCATTATAATCTAAATTATGCACACGTAACCACAGCTTACCTCCGGTAGGATTCATAAACATTGTTGACAACTGGAATTACCTATAAGAGCGTCAATGATGTCATAACGGCAGACTATTACGTATTTGTATACTACTGACTGTCTGATTGCTGCTTGCGAAAAATATGCGGTTATTTCGCGCTAGCTGAAGTTTCTCAGCCCAAATGTTCACATCAACGTTCGGAACAGACCTAAAAAGCTTTGTTCCGAAGGATTTACTCCAAGTTCGCGCATTCATTTCGTAGGAATTTAAAACAGGGTAGTGTTGCTTTGACTTCTAACCCCACTGGTACGTCAAAACCTCACACGTATGCTAACTAATTCACGTTGCTAGTCAGGAAAAGTATAAATGTCTGAAGGGAGTACTGAAGCAGATATTTCTGACTTCTTGGCTGTCGTCTATCGGTCATACTCAACTCCTAAATTTCACGCACATGGGATTCGAACCGGAGATGTTTGCTCATTTAGTCGAGTGCTCTACCATTGAGCTACGGGCTGTTGTCCTGTTGATTGTGATCGGCAATATCAACTATGATGGAGGGGCGTCTACCGATCAGGTCACAGGGCATACTTTCCCCGTTGTGCCCTCTGACTCAACCTAGAGTTCACGGAGGCAGCTGCATAGCGACAAGTAACATATGCAGATAATTGAGTATCGACAAAGACAGGAAAAATGGGAAGGGCCATTTCTGGCTTATTAGCCGTCATCGGCTAGTCATATAAAATCCCAAGCTTGGAACCCCGCAACTTCGAACCCAAGACCTTTGATCATTAGGTGAAATGGTCTGCCAGTGAACCACAGACATGTTATCGTTACTAATACTATAAAGCTATGTATGTAAAAAATCCTCACGCAAACCGATTTATCTATTCTCGCGGCTAATTCACCTGGAAGACAATTCTCGCCTCTGATCCGAGCACAAATCTGGGTTATTCAATAGCTTTTGCCTGAAATACCAGGTAATAAAATCGCACCCATAAACGTAAAAATCAGCATTTAAATTTGGTGAAAACTGGGTGCTAGAGCAACAGAATACCGAAAGTGTGTATGGATTTTATGAAAAGAAAAATGTATCCAATAACAGGCGTTTTGGCTGACACATTTAATATCTGCCTAAAGGAGTCAAATGCCTGCTTAAAACCAGACGCTACCAAAGAAATATATAACTGTTAACACATTTATTTATGCAAAGTTCAGTTTTAGTTCAAAAATTTCTCAGATTTTTCTTTTCTAACCCAGTCTGTTCATGCTGCGTTGTAACTTTTGAGAAATAACTGTAGTTATCCGGCACTTTTCAGTGTAACTGGATGAACTTCATCTCTTTTGCCTAAAATTCCAAAAATTGTTTTTAAAATCGATACACTTGAAAAGCCCCCGCGGTGGTCGTTAGACATCAGCTGACAGAGACAAGTTACCGGGACTGCATACGGTTGATTGATAACGGCTAATAAGTCGGTACTGCTTTCGCCATATATACGCAAGAGCTATGCGAATGCCTTCAAGAGCTCTCTATTCGGCCCCGAAGCACGATGAGACGTACACGTCTCCTAACTCGATCAGTGAATGCAGTTCTAACACAAATAGAACAATTTGGAAGG